AAGAGCCAGGCCAGGTGCAGTGGCTCACACCTGTAATCTTAGTATTTTGGAAGGCTGAGGCAGATAGATTGTTTGAGCTCAGGAGTTTGAAACCAGTCTGGGCAACATAGTGAAGCCTTGTCTCCATACACAAACAAACAGAAAGGGACGGGCGCAATGGCCAATGCCTGTAATCCCCACACTTTGGGAGGCCAAGGCAGGCAGATCCCGAGGTCAGGAGTTTGAGACCAGCCTGGCCAATATGGTGAAACCCTATCTCTACTAAAAATTCAAAAATTAGCTGGGCATGGTGGCGCAAGACTATAGTCTCAGCTACTTGTGAGACTGATGCAGAAGAATTGCTTGAACCGGGGAGGCAGAGGTTATGGTGAGCCATGCAACTGCACTCCAGTCTGGACAACAGAGTAAGACTCTGTCTCAAAAAACAAATAACAACAACAACAACAACAAAACATAAAAGAACCAGGCCAGCCACAGTGGCTTATGCCTATAATCCTAGCACTTTGGAAGACTGAGGAGGGAGGATCATTTGAGCCTAGGAGCTCAAGACCAGCCTGGGCAATATAGTAAAACTTCATCTCTATAAAAAGATTAAAAAATTAGCTGGGCATGGTGGTGTACACCTGTAGTCCCAGCTGTTTAGGAGGCTGAAGTGAGAGGATTGCCTGAGCCCAGGAATTTGAGGCTACAGTGAGTCATGATCATGCCACTATACTCCAGCCTGAACAACAGAGCAAAACCTTGTCTCTTATTTTTTACCCTCAAATTCTTGTTTCTTTCTTTGACAGAAAGTAAATTTATTGGTTCATTCAGTAGGCATCCCTGACTGATTCCTGGACTGTAACGTGAGTGATCAAGGCAGGTGTCCCTGCAATTGACGAGACACCAAGGGAAGAGTCTTGTCTTCCTGACTCCATGACCGAAGTCAGAGTTTTTGAGCAAGAGGGAGAGACTTGTCTCTTTTGGCTCTATATGGATAAAGAGCATCTCTTTTTTTCTACTAGAACGAGAAAGATTTAAAGGAAAAGAAAGAGAAAGAGGGAGACATTTGTCTCCTTTTCTCTA